ACCCAAATTGAACCTACAGCATGTTCCTCCTGGGGAGTAGAGTTGAGGACTCTGGCATAGACTGAGTGGTTTGCCTCTGTAATAGGGGCCATTTTCCTCTCATTGAGAACCTGACCACATGGTTCCCAAGAAGGGGACCCATGAGCCTCATCCTCCTGACCCTAGTCCCCCTGAACTGCTGAGTTTATAACCTGTGGAAGAGTCTGTGAGTCCTGACCAGATTGGGCCCGCTCTGCAGTATTTTTTAGAAGGCTCTGGAGGAAGACCAGGCAATCTCAGGGAAAGGCAGAATAGCTTATAGATGGAGGTGGACCTCAGTGAGCCTCGAACCTTTTATAGATCTGTCCCAAATTCTAAGCTGTAGGAAACCAATATTAATCATAGATTGGCCCCATCCATGCACAACCAGGCCTGGTAGATGCAACCACAAACAGTGAATAGTGTGGTAACTGCAGAGAGGTAGCCAAAGGCTGTTTACACTCGACATTTGACATTGACCTCTACCTGAACCCCATCTAAATGGATCCAGAACCAAAAAAAAACAGTGGTAGGCTCCAGACAATACAACAGCTTCATGCAACTAGGCACAATAGTAGCACACCCAAAGGGGGAGTCTGGCAGGCACCAGACCCTTCTGGGAACAACTCTGCCTTGGGGGGAAAAACCCTATACAGCGATTCATACACAGTGATCAGGTTTATCCTTATAGTCAACCAACATGAAGGGTTAATTCCACTCACAAAAGGGCCAAAGCATTCAGGACTCAACTACAACAGGAGGAGGCACATAAACCACAAGAAACATTCTTGGAGCACCAAGCTCAGTTGATCTGAAAGATTGTACCATTGAACCCAACAAGGAACCTATATCAAAAAGCCATCATAACAAGTTTGGGAGTCATAGCAGATATACCTAATACATAGAGACAAAATGGGGAGATAAACAAATATGCCCAAAATGGAAGAGAGAGAGAGAGAGAGAGAGAGAGAGAGAGAGAGATCCCCTCGAAAAAGATTAAATGAAATGAAAGCAACCAAAATACCAGATGTAGAGTTTAAAACAATGGATATAAAGATGCTCAAGGACCTTAGGGGAAGAATGGATGATCTCAGTGAGAACTTAAGCAGATAGCTAGTAAGCATTAAAAAGAATGTATAACCCATTAAAAAGAACCAGTCAGAAATGTAGAATACAATGTCTGAAATGAAGAATACAGTAGAAGGAATCAATGGCAGGTAAGATGAAGCAGAGGATCAAATCAGTGATTTTGAGGACAAGATAACAGTAAGCAACCAAACAGAGCATCAAAAAGAAAAGATAATTTTTTAAAATGAGGAAAATGTAAGAGACCTCTGAGACAACATTAAGCATCACAACATCTACATCATAGGGGTGCTATAAAGTAAAGAGAGTGAACAATGAATAAAGTACCTGTTAGAAAAAAATAATTGCTGAAAACTTCCATAACCTGGTGAAGGAAAAAGTCACTTGAAACCTGTATTGTTTTGTGAACCAATATCACCCCAATAAATTCAATACAAATAAAATAAATTTTAAAATAAAAATAAATAAATAAGACATCCCTTTATAAATGGGAAATGGGAAAGGAAAGTTTGGGGACAAGTCTCAGTCATGAGTATAATTACAGTGTGTATGTGTTTGGGAGTGGTTGATCCTGAGGTATTTATTCTAGGGGCAACTGAGGGCAATTAGCAATAGGGAAGAGAGTCAGGAGACCTGAAAATAGTACTGAAAGGACAAGTATGAATAAATCAATGATATGTACTATTTTATCATTTTTCTGAACCTG